CGAAGAAGAAAAAAGTTTCACCATTTAATGTTCACAAACGATTTAATGGTGATTTAAATGATCAATGAGTGAGCCAAAAAATTTGATCCAATTTAACGACAATTCAGATTTAATTTCAACAGATTCTCGAATCATGACAAGAATCACAAGAACCTTGAAAATTCCAACATTTTCTTGTAAAGTTTGTTTCTTTTTCGTTTCACAGATTAATATCTTTTCTGGTCGCTAAATGAACATTTATTATCGCAATTATTATCAATCATTTTTAGCTTTAAAACTTTTGTCTAGTCAAAACAATGTACAAAAGCGATTCAAAAGTTGACCTTAAATTGTTTCAAAAGTTGCTCCAAGTTGGAATGCTAGGAAATGAGTTTGAATAGAATGATGAAAAATGATTAAAATGAAGATTCACTTTTGTTCACTTGTCCCATTGTCTTGCAAGTTGGAGCAACTTTTATGTTCACCAAATTACCTCAATTCACTCCCAGTACTTTATCACTGCTTATTCACTTCTAATTAGTGACCAGACAATCCTGACATTTTCAGAGTTCTTTCAAGATTTTCTGTAATGAGCAAAGATGAGGCAGACAAAAAATGAGGTTAAACCCACCTTTCAATTGTTGGAACAGTTCGAGTCGAACCAAAACTTTTGTCGATTGGCAATCAGCTAAACTTGTAATATCATGAATCAAACATTTAACCTCAATAAAAGCAAAGTTACTTTAAATATTGGCATAACATGGATTCACCTTGAATACATAATTGTGACTTTGCTTAATGAAATGTTTTACATAAAATGATAACTTTACTCACTTAATTAATCATTATTATGATGAACACATTTACTGTTAACTATTTAGCCAAAATGATGCAAAATAACTCAATGAGCCATTAAACTTTAATGATCAATTTGGTAACCCAAAATTTTCATCCATTTTCACTGTGAAAAGATCTGTCAAGATTAACTGTTTACCGAGCAATTCATCATAATTGGTTTCCATCGAAGGTTGATTATCGCAATTTTGCTAATCATGTAAAGAAACAATTTATGAAACGTATTTCCATGAAAAGTCATTTTTCTGTCAATCGAAAGTTTCCAACTTGTAATAGTCAAACAGGTAAAACTGAAATTCGATCATCAAAAGGTCCTAATCCTTTTCGATTCAAAAATCTATCAAGTTTTGGTTCAATGAGCAAAGAGATTAATTATTGTAACTTTAATTGTGATGTGTAACGAAACTCTTTGAGGCCAATCTTTTTCGCTGTTAGTTTGCTTTTTAAAGGCACGTTACTTGGAGAATCAGGAATCGTGATTGAGATGGAATTGCATTCACACAAAGCTGACCTAAATTGTAAATCTATTTAATTGTCGACAATTTAAACAGTAATGCTCTTAAGTATTATCCTGAATACCTTTTCTAGTTGGAGTGATTAAGGAAGGAAAAAGCGAAAGAGAAACAATTAAGAATCAAAATCTCTTTTAATCTAGATCATTAAACAAAGAAGCCAATAGAAAAGGTTTTAACTTGAATTGATCTGTTGAGCAGAAACAAGATGATAAACCATTGGCTACGAACAAAAAGCACAAATAAATAACATTTACCAATGTTTAGATGTACTTTGGATTAGAACCAATTCAACCTTAATATCGGTTAGATGAATAACTGAATCCACATTGAAAGTGAAACCACAATTTCTGGTCTCTCAGTTAACATCAAACATTTAAACAAAGAGAAGCGTTTAAAATTCGAGTTTAGGTTGAGATTGAAATTGACAGTGAATCTGGTTAAGAAACTGCAACAGTGAAAGAAAAAGTTTCATTGCAATTGACTTGCAGTGAACTATCTGTTTCTCCTGAAATCATCTTTCATCGATCATTTCAGTCACATTCATTTCTCTCCTCAAATCAAGTTAAAAATGTAAAGTCAATGGTTCAACTTTGGAATAGAAAAGTTTCTCTTTTTGTCTCCACCAAAGTGAAGGTAAATATTTTTTCAAAGTTACGTTGTTGCCATGATTCTCATCACACTCTGATCATTCCAAGTTACTCTTCTCATCCTTCATCATCATCATTATTGCTATTATTATTATTCTTTCATTTTTTTGGCTTTTCTCACAGTTGAACCTCACACTCCATGTGAAACTTGTAATAAGAAAAATATTTTCTCCTTTTTCATTCTCTCAGTTTATCAAGTAAACAAGACCTGTGAGCATTGATTTTATTGATTTTATGTATTAACTTGAAAGTAAAGAGTAAAAACCAAGGAAACTTTGGATATCCACATTTTGCCTTGTTTCATTACAAACACTTTCGAGTGTGAAATGGATCAACGAAAAAGGCAAAAAAGGTTAAACTTTTGTGTCCTTTCAGTGAAACTCAAGCTGTCTGTTCGTTAACTTTGATAATTCGTAAACATGTTGACATGCAGGATAACAATTGAACATTGAACATTTTTAATTTTCCTCTTTTCTTCATCAATATGCCTTTCGATCAATTTCAAGTGTTGAAATTTTCCAAACTTGAAAACTTTTCTCTTCTCTCTTCACTATTCTTGCCAAAGTCTCGCTCAATGCTGAACTTTCGTTGTGATTTCGTTTGATCCCAGTTACTTGTTTAACCCTGTAATTAGCTATTCTCATCTGGTTCAGCTTCTCGATTGATGAGTAATTGTAAATTAGTAAACATCATTACCGTCAATAAACTCACTCGATTGCTTTCAGAAATGGAAGCTCAATGAAACGTGAAAAGACAGATTCCTTAGCCAGGAGTAAACCTTTATCATGCTATAATAGCCATTGTTTCAATTATCGATATAACCAATTGTTTCTCTTGCCTTATTAAACTCAACAATCAAAGTCACAATTCAAATCAAGTTCATCATTAGATTAAGGTTCATTATTCAGTTATTAAACTTTAACATTTTCAACTCGAGACTTGAACCTTAGGATGAACTTAGCTCTTAATTGTTCATTAATTAAACTTATCACTCAATCCCAGCAATTTTACCTTCCAAACTATTTAGTTACATAAACTTGGTTCAACATTCATTTAGAGCCTGGATTGAGAAAATGGAAAGACAAAGAAAAGGTGAAAACATTGTTCAGGCAATCTTGAAACCTTTCGCAATTTCAATTAAAATCACTTGAATGAGTTTGAATTAACTCGTGAATTGTGGTAATTAAAAGGAGACTTAATGAAGTCAACTTTTCGATTCATTTTTTATTTACATTTTTCACTCAATTTTAGAGGCAAACACTTGAGAAAGATTTCATATTTTATTTCAAAGAAAAGCAACTTTGTGAACATTTTGAAATTCATGGAGAAATTGCGTTTAATCTCTTTACATGATCTTATAATTAACGGGAAATCTCATAAACTCTTGACTTGATTTGTTTCCATCAACTTTAATCATTGATAAGTTTCAAATTTCCTAACTCTGTTGAGTACTAAACTCGGAAGGATTAAACTTGTAAAGAAGATGAACAAAAGTGTAAACCAAAGTGAAAACAATTTAACATGATTTCACTGTTGAACCAGTGAAACTTTTCAGTTAATCCAACTTAAATCAGTTAATGTTGAATGAAAGATGAGAAATGATTTTCAACTTTTTCTTCATTTCTTTTTCCTAATTGTTTCAACTTGAGACTTTTCAGGGAAACCCTTTGATCGAAAGAAGACAATCATTTTGTCGTTTCATTCCAATAAGCTATTATTAACTTAAATCTGATTCGATATCAAATTAACCTTAACAATTGTCGTGATGTTAACCGTGAAATGAACAGGTAAAGATGAAAAGAAGGTTGATTGGAAAGAAGAAGATGAACAAGATTGAAATGTAAAGATTCAATTGATGACCCAATCTTATTCAATTAGAATGATTTTGAGAGTTTTCTTTTTCTTTTCTATTCTTTTAATGAACCAGAATATTGAGGAATGATGATGAATTGAGTCATTTAGATTTTCCAAGCTTTTCGAGAAAAGAAACTGTTTTTTTCTCTTCTTCAAGAATTGACTAATAATGAGGTTGAACATGAACAAAGCTCGAGTTGTTGATTGAGCCAATTGATGTGCAAAAAGCCAATCCCAGGTTCAATGGTAAATGAGTTTCAAATTGGATTCTGTTATAATTACAATTTTCTTTCCATGTCAACTTGCGAATTAAATTTAAACACTTTTCCCTCAATTTTACAATCGATCAAATAATTTCATTCATCCCTTGCTTTTCCGTCATTTTCATCATCTTGCAGTTTCTAAATTGGATGAGAGTGTTTGTGTTAATTAATCAAAAATAATGAAAAAAAGAGAGAGAGAGATGAATGAAAATGAATCACAAGTTGACATGAACAAATAATGAGTTTATGAAATGATGGGTTCAATGTTGAACCTTATTCAACGGTAAAACATGGGATGCAAGTGGCAAACTGATAATAGATTAAAGCTAATGAGACATCAAATTGCGAGGATTGTTCGCATTCATAGTTTCCTCTTTTCATGGATAAAAATATTCATCGATCGATCATCGAGTAACATTGTTAGACATTGTTAGACCTTACATTTGGTAAACAAGATGATTAACTGATTAATCAAAATTTCCACTCTAATCATGTTCCATTTTCATAATTATTGTTCCTCTAAAACATTTTAAAACAAATTATCTCTTCTCATGTTTACCAAGCTTCTGGTGAGTGTCAATTTTGATGTGCGATTATCGTTCAACAACTTGAAGCAACTTTAAGGTTTTGTTTTTCATCTTTTCTCGTTTTAATTGATTCAAATTAAAAATTTGTTCACTCAATTAGCGGTTCATTAATAATGAAATGTTTAGAACTATTTGGCTTGAGTTTATCTTGATATGTTAATGTCTGGGAATGGAAGTTTTCTCAATGTTTATGAACACAATTAGAACTCAAATGAAAACTAAATCTCGACTCTGGTGACTTATGATTCGTTTTATTGCTCATCATTTAAATAATAATTTCTCTCGTTTTTGCAGATTCTTCAGATCTTGGCTTCATTGCGCAGTTCAACTAAAACTTTGGTCAAATGATCCAATAATCTTTGCTAAATAATTTCATCATTTGGTACAAATTAGGAATCGAAATTGCATTGTTCAATCGAGGTGAGTAAACTTAGAATAAAAGTGACAAGAACGAGAGAAATGTTGAGAAATTATTCCACGATTTATGGCATCGACTAAAAGAGTTACAATTCGGTCTAACTGCGAAATGGACTGAATTTTCGCTCAAATTTGGAATTTTCTTTACAAGTTCAAGTTAGTTGAAAATTATCACCGAATCGAATGAAAGAATAATATTTTTTGGATTTTCTGAAGTATCTTTACCTCGCAAATGAATCCAATGAAACTTGACCATGAAAGCAAACAACTTCAATAGTTTGACAGAAAATAAGATTATAATCGAATGCTCAGTGAAACGACTTAGAATTTTTTAAAAGTGAAATTTCCCTTCGAAACTCGCACCAAATTCTGGGTCAACTGACTTTCGTTTTGAACTAACTTTAGTTGAAATGAACAGTTGGTGAAATGATCATGAAATGTGCGCTTATAAAAACAAATGAAATGATATTGAATGGAAAATCGTATGAAATTGAAATCAATTTTGTGCTCAATTCTGCAAATAATTAACATTGCCTGAGGTTGCTTGTTTACCGATGGTTCAATAAATTTTGAAGCATTTTCAATCAAACTAAATCTACTTGTGCAAACAAAAATGAAAATTATAAATACTTGTGCATGAGAAGGTAAAAGAAGAGGAAAGACTTGAAATGCTTTTCCCATTGAGTATCAATGAGTAAATCAATTTTTGCTCAACTAAATTGAATAAGTTTGATTTCAAATTGAGTTGCAAGGTGAACACAAGGAAAACAAAAACATGGTAAATGAAAGACACAAATGTATTAAATGAACTGATGAAGAGAAATTCATTGTCAGCCTGTTGTCACTAAATGTTGTGCACCAACATATGATAGTTCAAGTATAGTTCAATTGGTTTACATTTTGTTTTTCATCTTCTTCTCATCGTCTTCATCTTTCCCTTTCATCATCAACTTTGTCACTCAAAGGGAATTGAGCATTTCTTGGAACAGATTATTGAATCTTTTTTTCTCTTCTTCTTCTTTCTTTTGTTTCTTCTGGTTCCATTTCAACATTTTACTTCTTGTTCAGATAATTTCAATTGATTAAATTAAGAGCAAAGAAGAAAAGAGAAACTTGTTTTATTGATTGGAATTTAAATTTCAACTTGAATAAGTTTAGCTTAAGTTTGAAAACTATCAACTCGAAATGAGTTTAAAATTGAGAAAAGAAGCAAAAAAGTTTCAACATTTCAATCGACTTTTCGTAACAATTGTTTCTAATTATACAAATTGTTGGCTCATTTTTGCTGCTTCCATTGATTAATGTTCCATTGCTCAGTTCAATTGGAATTGCATGTAAATTGTTTCAACATTTACAGGGAATGATGAATAATATACTCGAGAAGTTTATCATTTCCAGTTTTAGTCTCGACTCTAATCGATCCTTGTGAAGGGATAAACTCATGTTGAAGATGAAGTCTAATTTCATGAAATCTCTTCAACAATCAAAACAGTTTTCTGTAAATGAATTTCAAGTTTTCTGATTAACTGTTTGTCGATTATTTTTCATGTAAATTTCATGGCATCAGGGTTAATATGGAAATAGGTCAACTGTGAAATGCACTAATTAACAGAATGTTGGTTGGAGAGAAAATGGAATTTTTCATTTTCTTTAGTTTACATTGTTTTTCATGATAATTTGATTTTTGATTGAAATTTGTTTTTCCATGTTCATCATTTCACGGTCAGTTATTGAACCTTTTTTCATGGTCATTTCGTGTTTTCCATTCAACTTGATATATTGAAAGGAATGTTTGAATGAAACAGATGAAAATGACAAGTTTACCTTCTGTGTTTGTGTGTGTTTGTTGAAGGATGAAAACCTTGAAAGGTCAAAAGCCAAATGTTAAGAGAATGGTTCGATATTGAAATTGAACCAAAGGTCAGTTGTTATTCATGTTAATTGGGCGACAATTGTGACAACACTTGGTAAACACTTTCATGTAATTTCTTGCTGTGTTTCTGCTAAGTATAATACTTAAGCTTTAGTCAAGAGGAATGTTTATCGAGGACAAAAAGGCGAGAAGAGTTGATTCCATGGAAAAGGTTGAGAATGAAGATGAATCCTGATGAGGATAATTATGATGCTGATGGTGATGATGGTGAGGATGGCAAGGCTGCTGGGTAAAAGTTTGATTTAATCAACTAAACATGGGAAACCGGAATGGGAAATGAATGTTGTTCAATGTTTGATTAAACCGGTAAAAACTGTGCAACACTGAGGAAGACTGAAAACTGAATAGGATGAACCAAGTGAAGGTAAATGTATTAATAACTTTTTATTTGCCATTTCAATCAAATGTTGCCAAGTAAATTGGTTAACATGAAATGTTTAGTTATTTTTGCATCAAAATCATCTTTTCCCTGCTTCACTCGATTCCTCGATTAATCAAGACTCAATCATGTGCATCTAAAAAGATACAACCTGTATTGATTTGCATCGTTTATTTCCCTTCCCTTCTCCATCAGTCTCTTCTGCTCAACAAATATTGAAATTTATTTACTTTTTTTCTAAGAATCAAGTCTTTCATCTTGTCTAAGCACTCTCTTCAATCGTTGAATGTCTGTTCATTCTGACGAAAAAAAGAGCTCATTAAACGCGAACTCGGTATAAGATGATTCAAGAGAAAATTTTGATTTATAAAATTCTCAAGGTTATCAGAAGCATTTCTTAAATTGACCTTGACTTACGAGGTCATTTAGAAGACACAGAAAAACAGTATTCGCAAAGTTTTAAAATTTTGGCAATTTTCTTTTTACCTTCGCAATTGCCGCAAAATCTCATTTTCGCATCGATTAAATTTACTGAGAAATTCAAGTTGATTGGAATAACGATTTTCATTATTCAATATTTAAAGATTCATTGATAGATAGAAATGAAAGATAACTTTGAAAATTGTTTCTCTCCAAAAGTATGGAAACAAATGGACGATCTGTACTTTTTTACACTTAATTTTAGCTGCTTTGATCTACTATCTAATCAATTTTATAAATGAAGGTGGAAAGTGTAAGTGTTGGTGTGAGTTACGATATAATTTTCAAGTCAATTAATCATTTAAAAAACTTAATGAACCACAAATTAAATAATAGCCTCTCAATTGAGCGGACAATTTGAGTTGGACAAGAAACGCTGCTCAAAGTAATAACAATGATAATCCTTCTTCTTGTATAACAGCTCATAATGTTCAACATCAGGGATTGAGAGAGAAAAAAACTGAAAGAAGAAGAAGAAATGAAATCAATTAACTTGACAAGCATTTATTAATTATAAAAGCAACGATGGACCATTCATCAATAGTTAATTGGCTTGACCTTCAAACTTGACCCTTGGCGTTGGTGTATAGCTGTTAATCACTTGACTTGATGCAAAATGAAAGTGATAAGAGTTGGTCAGCTCTTGTGACCCTCTTCAACTGAGAGAAGGCGAGATTTTTACTCAAAATTTCAAGTCAATTATTCATCATTGCCATGATAATGATTTATCAATAAAGAAAGCAAATTAGTTGAGTTTTTAAGGTTAATCAATGAAACGTTGAACTGGAGCTTCAACTACTGGAACTTGCATGAATCTCGAATGAATCTCGAATGATGCAGTTTTATGATTGATGATCATGTCGATGATTATGTTGTTGTTGATGATGATCATGGTAAAGATGAGCAAGCAAAAATGATTCAGTGAAAGGTTCACTGAAAACTGGAATCGACGAAAGGATTGAGGAATGATAATCTTGGTTGTGTTTATCATTCCCAGTAAATCATGATTATCTTAATGACAACTTTCGTTGGTAAAAGTTGAACTGCTTTTGCCAATCGTTTCATTAAAATCTTTGCTCTTCTGGTTCAACCCTTTTCCTCCCTGTTTTATCCATTGGATATGATTCATGAAATTTTCACAGCCAAAGGTCATGCTTTCGATGAATTTCTATAGACGAATATTTATTTTAGCATTTGTTTAGTAACCATTGATTGCGTGGTTTTTTATTTTCTCAGTCAATCTATTTTTTCTTTCATTCCCTGGTTCATCCGATAATCGAAAATTTTTTTCAGTCTCTTCTTTAGGTAAATTTGTATTAATGATGAACCAAGTGAAAGTTGAGCCTTTCCATGTTTGCTTCAGGTTATCAAATTGATTAACTCGCATTCATAATTGAACCTTTTTGCATCTTCAGCCTGCTGGTTCAACGGTTAATTATCAATATCTAATGAAACAAGAATATTAATTTTTAATCCTTTTCAATATTGGTTTAGTCCTCTTGACGAGTCTATCCAGCTTATTCAGTCTCTACCTGTGTTTGTTTCAGGTAAATAAATGATAAATAATTGAACAGAGTAAATCATATTATTGATGTATTAATATTAAAATATTGGCATGTTGCTTCATTTGAATCCATTTCATTTTATATTTTGCAAAATGTTTACCGAAAATGTTAAATGTTTCAAGAATGAACTTTTTACCCTCAAACTCATCTGTATGCTATCGATGAAATTGAATGATTTCAATTCAATTTGATAACTCAATATTTCATACTTGAAAAGTTATTTTCATAAATGTAAAAAACTTTAAATTCAACTGGTTTAGATTAGGTTAGAGTAGGTTAGATTAGATTTGCTTTGATTTGATTTTTAAAAATCAAATCGATTTTCATAAATAATCGATTGATAGATTCAATCGATTAAATTAAGCAAAAATCTGTATCATCTCGATTATTAATCGATTTTTAATCTGTTAAAGCAACATCAGTCGTCTGAAAGCTCGATTAATATCGATTAAGGATCGATTAATTTATTGATAAATCGAATTGATTAAAAATCGAATAGCCTCGATTTTTTAATTATAAATTTTGATAGATTGTTTTTTTGCAAAGCTCAATCAATTCAGTGTCACAAGCCAAGTGTACGTAATGTGAGGCACGGAAGTTTCTGCATGAACTTTATCTCATGACTATAACATGGGAATTGAAATTG